GAGTTGGGACAAACATTTGGCTCTAGTAGAGTTTTCCTATAACAACAGTTACTATGCAAGTATTGGCATGCCTCCATACGAGGCATTGTATGGGAGGAAATGTAGGACACCATTGTGTTGGGATGCGGTTGGCAAAGCCAAGCTCAAGGGTGTAGAACTTGTTGAGATCACCAAGGCTAAGGTGAAGACCACCCGGGATAGGCTTAAAGCCTCCCAAGATCGACAAAAGAGCTATGCCGATAAACGGCGTAGACCATTAGAGTTTGAAGTTGGAGATGAGGTATTTGTAAGGATTTCCCCTTGGAAAGGTATCATCCGATTCATACCGAGGGGTAAGCTTAACCCCCGATACATTGGTCTGTTTGAGATCCTAGAAAGGATTGGAGCTATGACTTACCAGCTTAAGTTGACATCTGAACTTGAGAAGATACATGACGTGTTTCATGTATCCACGCTCAAGAAGTATGTGTGAGACCCATCTCATATTCTTGAGAAACAACCGGTAGAGATCTGTGAGGACTTACAATATGCAGTGGAAACAGTGAAGATTGTTGGTCAACAGGTGAAGAAATTGAGGAACAAGGAGATTCCTATGGTCAAGTTTCAATGGAGAAGTGATCGAGTCGAAGAAGAAACGTGGGAGACCAAGGTCTCAATGAGGAAACAATGCCCATTTCTTTTTTACTAGACACGTGGATTTCGAGGACGAAATCCCAAATAAGGGTGGTGAACTTGTAACACCGTCCCCAATTATATTTACTTTTATGTAAATCATGTATTGAACCTTATGAAATGGTTAATGAATTTACGAGGTTGTAAATTTTTGTCATTACTTTTGCATGAATAGTGAATTGCACACGGGGCCGACATCGGGAGCGGGGACCACCCTATATTTCTGAGAACACATATTATATTCATCTTGGTCTAGATAATATGTATATGGTGGTGGATATTTTAGTTGGGCCATGGAAAGGGCATAGGGTTGACCGGTTGGTCAAACAAGGCCCAATTACGATATTGGTAGTTTATCGGATAACATTCCAAAATGGATTTCGTAGACTTCCAAATTAAGGTTGATGAATGTATATTCATTATAAGAGCCATATGGGTTTAGAACGTGTGATATATTTTATTTGGCCCGATAAAATAAAATATAATTAAAACAGTTCGAGAAATATAACTTTCGGGGCCGATCATACACATCGGGACATAACGGGATGACTTCCCACAAGAGTGGGGGCCACCCCACGTTTTTAGATCCCAAAGATGACAAGAGGGGCTTCACAACATGAGTTTTGAGGTGTGTGTGGGCTGAGGGTGGTGTTTGGGTGAGAGTTGACCTAAGGTGGGCCTCTCGATCTCCTCACTCATTTGCCATTTGAGACAAAAGGAGTCTCCTCACTCCCTCCCCCATTTTTTGTATGTACAAACTACCCCAAGGAAAGATAGAAGCTCTGCAAACACCATACTCCATAGCTAAATTCGGATTCAAGCTAAAAAGGCAAAGAAGGAGGTTTAAAGAGGAAAACGGGAGGAAAAAGTGTGGTGATTAAGGTAATGACCTTATATTAACTTTTCCTCCACTCTTTAATTACCATATGACTTATATAGCATATGAGGAACCCCTATATAAGATCTACATGTTTAGAAACTTATGATGAGGGGTTGGAAGGTAGTTCTAAGTCCCAGAACGGACTTAGAAGCCAAACTGACAGGTTCACCAGAAAATAACCTTCTAGAGGTTATTTGTATTTCTATGGGTTTTATGATGATAAAACCTTTTTAAGAACTTGTCTAAGGTGTTCCTAGAGCTTTCGCGGAGTTGAAAGAGTCTCCAGTTATCACCGGAGCTAGACAAAGTTCGCCGGAGTTTCACCGGAGTTCAACCGAGAGGGGTAGAACTTCATAAAGCTCATTCAAGGTGAGTGGATGGATTAATGTCTTGTAACTCATGGGTTAAGTATAAGATTACCTAAAGAAATGTTATAAGTATTCATAATGATGTTTAAGGGAACTTAAGCATGCGATTAGCCCACGTAAGTTGGTTTATGTGGATGATACTACATGATTATGCATGTTAAAAGTATAAAATGTGTATAAAAACATATGTGATATTTTGGATGGTAAAAATGGGATATTATGGTTGTTAAAGACTCAATATATGTTGTATAAAAGTGTTGTACCGATCAGAGATCATACAAGGGGTCAACGGACCGCCGCCGTTGGGCAGACGGTGAACTGGCGCCGGCCATAGGGCCGAACCGGCGCCGGTTATTCCACTGCCTGGCCGGGCTGGGAGATTTAACACATAACCGGCGCCGGGTATAGGGTATGACCGGCGCCGGGTAAGCTGTTGCAACGGGTTCTGATTTCTCCAAAAATGCGTTTCGAGTCCGGTTCGAAGGGGGTATTCACCCTAGACATCCGATATAGGTATATTGTGCATGGAATTGTATAGAATGTGATATTTAAATGGTATGTTTGATACATGATGATTAATAACTAAGACTTGGTCTAGTCTTGATAAACGATTATGATATAGACCCTATCTATGTATGATAAGCGGTAGGTCATAAAAGTGAAAGTAAGACGGTGGAGACCTAGGGACGACGGTACTGTCCTCAAACCTCGGTATTTAAACGGTGGAGACCGAGGGACGACGGTACAGTCCTCAAAACTCGGTATTTAAACGGTGGAGACCCATGGACGACGGTACTGTCCTCAAACCTCAAATGTATAAACGGTGGAGACCCAGGGACGACTGTACTGTCCTCAAACCTCGGTATATAAATGGTAGAGACCCAGGGGCGACGATACTGTCCTCAAAACTCATATGTATAAATGGTAGAGAATCCAAGGACGATGGTAATGTCCTCAAACTCGTAAGTATAGATTGATTTGGACCAGGAGGAGTCCTATACACTCATAGGATATGGGTGGGTTGGGATGGAACATTATTTTGTGGTGGCAAATGACGGGCATAGAGGTGGTTTGGATTTGATTTGGAGGGAAGGAGTCCAAGTACATATCGCGGATTCTTCCAGCCACTATATTGATGCGAGGGTGAGTCTTGAGGTGGGGGCTCCTAGCTGGCGATTCACAGGATTTTACGGCAACCCTAACAGAAACAAACGCCGTGAATCTTGGGATATCTTAAAATCTTTGAGTTTGGGGGATGACAGTCCTTTGCTAGTCATGGGAGATTTCAATGACCTGATGTTTGCATCCGAGAAAAGGGGGCGTGTGCCACATCCACCGTGGCTTTTGGGGGGCTTCAGGGAGGCGGTTTGGGAATGTGGGCTGCGGAATTTCACCTTCCAGAGGGTACCAGTTTACGTGGGATAGGTGGAGAGGATCCCAAAATTGGTTGGAGCAAAAATTGGATAGAATTCTTGTGTCCGAAAACTGGCTTGACATCTTTGGAGAGGCTGCGGCTGAGTCACTTGAGGGTGCTCCTAGCGATCATATGGCACTTTTTATTAAAATTATTCCGACACAAGTTTGTAAAAGGAGACGTAAATTTAAATTTGAAAATGTTTGACACCGTGATGATGGTTACCGAGAGCTAGTAGCTCAGAGTTGGGGCTGGGATGAACTCTGGGCGTCGTGGGGAAGGTTGCTTCGTGTGGTAAAGTGATAAGTGATTGGGGTCTTGGTAAAGCTGGCTCTTACGGGAGGCGCATTAATTTTTGCAGGAAAAAATGGAGTATCTTCGAAGGAGGTGGGATTCTTGGGGTATTGATGAATTTCAAAGGGTCAAGCAGGAATATCTTGAGCTTCTTGAAAAAAGAAAACATTTTTTGGAGACAAAGAGCAAAGGAGGTTTGGTTGCGGGATGGTGATCTTAATACCCGATATTTTCATAATTCCGTTAAACATCGACGATGTAAGAACACCATCGAGGGACTTCGGCTTGAGGATGGACGTTGGCAGAATGATCGGGCCGAGGTTGGAAAATTAATTGGAGACTACTTTAACCACATCTTTGCTTCAAGTTCAGGAAGAGAGGATTTTGTTTTCAGTTGTGTTCGGATGAAGCTTGAGGTTCATCACAAACAGACTCTCCTTCGGCCTATTAAGGAAGAGGAGGTTAAGATGGCATTATTTTCTATGTTCCCCGAGAAATCTCCTGGTCCAGACGGCTTTAATCCGGAGTTTTACCAGCATTTTTGGGACGTGATTGGGCCTGATGTAGTTAATTTTTGTAAAGTGACATTTATTTCTGGTAAGTTACCGGAGAAAATTAATCACACAAATATTGTTTTGATTCCAGAAAAAGAGAAGCCTGAATCGTTAGGGGACTGGAGACCGATTGCTTTATGCAATGTAATTTATAAAATTTTCTTGAAACTTTTGGCAAACCGGATAAAGAATTTACTTCGGTTTTGTATATCTGAACAGCAGAGTGCCTTTATTCCGGGAAGACAAATTGTGGATAATATTATGCTAGCGTTCGAGTCTCAGCATTTCTTGATGTGCAAGCGGCAGGGTAAAGTGGGGTTTGTGGGGCTTAAAATGGACATGAGTAAAGCCTATGACAGGGTAGAATGGCCTTTTCTTGAAGGTATGATGAGACACCTGTGTTTTGACGAGAGGTGAATTCGACTGGTGATGAATTGTGTTACTTCGGTGTCCTATTCTATCCCATTTTATGATTTTGAGATTGATTTGGTGGCGCCAGGGAGAGGTCTACGGCAGGGGTGATCCTCTCTCATCGTATTTATTTTTAATTGTTGCTGAAGGCCTAAGTGCTCTATTATGTAGATATGAGTTCATGGGGCGGCTGCATGGGGTCTTGATAGCTAGAGGAGCGCCTATGATTTCTCACTTATCATTTGCAGATGAGAGCCTCTTATTTTTCAGGGCCACACATGATGAAACCTCATTGGTTAAGGAGATTTTATATGACTACGAGAAGGCTTCGGGGCAGGTAATAAATTTTAATAAATCTAAAGTTTTCTTTAGTAGTAATGTGGCGAATAGTTGCTAGGAGGGTTTGATTGAGATGCTTGGTGTTGGGTTGGCTGGAGAGAATGAAAAATATTTGGGTTTACCTGCATTGGTTAGGAAGAGTAGGAAAGATATTCTGAGTTATCTAAGACAAAGAATTGTTAGCCGCATTAATAATTGGAATAATAAATTTTTATTCAAAGTGGGAAGGGAGGTTTTGTTGAAAGCGGTTATACAGGCCATGTCAGTCCGTAGTTGTTACTAGAGAATAACGGGAGATTTGGGAGAGATGCATGGATCAGAGTGGACTACCATGTGGTCTTGGAAGCTTCCACCTAAAATAAAACTGTTCTTTTGGCAGGTTTGTAGCGGTTGTTTGCCCACGAGGGATATGTTGCAAGCTCGGCGAGTGATATGTTCGGAGGTGTGCGGTTTGTGCGGGGAAGAACGGGAGTCATTGGTACATAGTTTTCGCCATTGCCGTGTTGCTCGCAAAGCTTGGGAGCTGCTTTCCTGGAAGTGGACAGATGGGGATGAACTCTCTGGTGGAACAAATTAATCTTGAAGTACAAACTAGGAGAAAGGAAGATTTGGAAAGGATGATTTGGGGTAGTTGGGCTGTATGGTGCGAGAGAAACTACCGGGTGTGGCAAGGAACTGCTTCGACAACTCCTTAGTTTATTAATCGAGCTCGGGCTATTGTTGAAGGCTGGAGACAAATCCATTATGGACGATGGAATGAGCCAAAACAGAGACGACAGGTGTTAGAGACCTGGAGGAAGTCGGGAGCTGGAGGTTTGAAGTTGAATGTGGATGCGGCAGTCCGTATGGGCGGGTGTGGGCTCGGGTGGTGCTTGCGGGATGTTAATGGAAGCTTTGTGGCGGGGCCAACCTGTCCGTGGCCGGGCAAGTGGTCTCCGCTTTGGGCTGAACTGCTGGGAATCCGAGAAGCTCTCAGCTGGATTTAACTACACAGGTGGGACGAGATTGAGGTGGAGACCGATGCAACCTGGGTTGTTGCAGAAATTACACTTGGGTCCAGTTGTTCTTCCATTGGTTTGTTGGGTGAAGACATTAGAGACTTGACGAAATCCTTCAGGAGCGAATAAGATAGTCCATACTCTTGCAAGAGTTGCTTGTTCTTAGTCACGATCATGGTTTATTTTCCTCCTTTTATTGTTTCATCTTTGGATGCTCATTTGATTAATGATAATCAAGTCTTCCTCTTGCAAAAAAAAACTCATGTGTTTGACACGGTAGCCAATTTTTTACCCAATAAATAAGAAGTAATTCGGAACTTACCTTTCTAATTCTTTCTCATTGAGTTGACTAAATCAATTGGTGAAGAGGACAGTTTAGCCTTTTCCATATGATGTATATTAAATTTATTTGTAATAAATATATTAATTTTCTTTTATCATATTTTCAGTAGATATAGTTGATTCAGCTATTTCAGCCATAATTTCAACAATTTAGATTAAGACGATTCAGTTAAGAAATTATTACATAAATATGACTAAAATAAAGATGATTTACAAAAATATGACTAATGACTAGAGTAGTAATGAAATCATAGTAATTCATGTTTAAATTTTGAGCTTAAGTTACCACAACACCACATTGTAGTAATGAATAGTCATATTTATGTAAATATGTTTTATTTTAGTAATATTCTTGTAAAAAACTCTTCAATTAATTTTATAGTTAACAAATAGCTCTATGTAGAAGGATAGTGCAATAATCCTCAATTTAAAAAGTTCTAATCAAATTTAGGAACCATAAAAATAAGTGCACCTGTTAAAAGTGAGTTAACATTAAGAGCTTGTAGGTATGATGACTTATTACTCTTTCAATTCTTTTACAAAGCATATAACTATTGATTTTGCATGGTGAGTCAAGTAATTGAAACAACTCAAACAAGTAAAGATATAGTTAGTTTTAGCTGAAATGACTTAAATTATTCTAAATAATCATGTCAGCTAATTTTAATATCACTTTTATATCACATATCACGTTTTAGATGAAGGAGTTTGGTAAGTTTAATACTGCTTCCATTCCTCAAAATTTTGACAAGCTTGTTTTAATGTGATCTGGACGGTTCAGATTTTTTCCTCTTTTCACTATCAGTTTCTTTCTAAGATCCCTCAACTTCTAGGAGAACTTCACTCTTCTTTTCATTTTCTTTTCATCTTTTCCACCATTCTCTTATCACTGATTAATCATATTTGATTTCCACACTTCCTTCTTCAATGATCTATCCTCTTTTTTCCATCTCATTTGTACAGTTCTCTTATTTTTGCTTATGTCATCTTTGTAGGGAGAAGAAGGTCCTGATGTCTTCAAAGCCTCCAAGCATTCGTAGCCGGAATGAAAGAAGACCGCCACGAGATCCGCCGGCTCCACCAATATAATCGACTCCAAGGTTTTTACCGTCAATCGATTTCTCTAAATGTATCATATTAGTTCATTTACACCTGCTTCTGAATTTCATTTATTGAAAGTTGTTCATTATCCTTGATTTACGCATATATGGATAAGTTTGTGTTTTCACACTTCGTTTTTTAACTTCACAAGTCAATGATGAATTTATACATGATTGAGTGATGGTATATCAAATTTATTTTGTTGATAGTATTTCAAAGGTATTTGGTTTCATTGTTATATTCTTAGACTGGTTTCATGTTTTGGGTTCTACGATAACTGTTTAATCACCCCTTTGATCATAAAGTTCATGATATGTGTTTATATGCGCTTAAACTAATACACATAACAGATAGTATCACTTCTGTGAACGGTTATGCTTCTGTGTTTATAAGCTTGATCAGACGGGGAAATAATTAAGTTAAAGTTGTGTGATCGAGATGTGTATAGAAGAGAGAGAAATGACACAAATCACAAAATGATTGATTACAAGAGAAAATGAAAAAGTATTTGGAACAATCAAAATAGAAAAGATAGCAAAAAAAAAGGATAACACTCTATCCATGTGAGCCCCTCATAACCGACCGAACATTTATCTGAGAGGAGGTAAGTTGACCTTTGATCATACACCGATTAAAAGATAGTGAAGCATCATTCCAAGTCTTTGTTTGGAGTTGAATCTGAAACTTCTATGTGACATCTTCCTATTAGATGAGCTATGTCCCATAAATAGAAAAAATAACAAAATTTTAAGTGACACGGGAAGTAGTTTAAATAAGGTACTACACCATATATGGTACTTTTATAAAACTATTTTAGTTTATCGATATATCGCCATCATCAGTACTAACCATCACAGTGGTCACTTTATATAAAAGTTGATGATATCATTGATATGACGATGCTATCATTTCATACTCCCAGGCTCACACACGAAATATTGTATTCCTGGATTTTTATTTTTATTTTTTGTAGAGTAAATATTCCTTATTTAGAGTAAAAATACGTGGACAATAAGTCAATACTTAAGATATTATTTATTTCTCTTTTGATAATCTTTATTCTTTCACTGCACAATTTTTAACCTTTTTTAAATTACAATAAAGAACTTTTATTTTTATTTTATATGAAGTCCAAAAGGAAACAATTAATAAGGGAGGAACCGAATATAGGTTTATTAGAGTGTCGTATATCATCAAACATATTAGTTGCCATTTTGCCAAGCTGTATCAAATTAGGAAATCCACAATGATGAGCGCCAAGTTTAAGTTTTAGAACAAATATTTGAATTTTTGACAATGTGAAATTATGTTCATGTTTTTAATTTGATGCGTAGCCTCTGAAAATTAACACTCTCATATAAAAAACAAAAGTAAAAAATAAAAAACATATATGTGAGGCATGTGGTACTATTTTAACTATCATCATTATCATCATTATCATTACCCACCTACGGTGAGCTAAAAGGGGGTCGGAAGTATGCAGTCTTACCCCTTTACTAAAACACAGAGAGACTGTTTCCAGATGACTCATAGTACTATTTTAACTATGAATATGAAAAATAATGCAATGATATAAATGTTGTGAAATACACTACAAATTCGTCTATTTGTGATACGAAAAGTTTCCAATAATATTACTATTGAAAAAACACTGAACATAAATGTGAGTAGTAAGTTTTAGTGACTAATTGTGTTCAACTTTACTTGTAGTCAATATGATGTAAATTTTGAAAATTAAGTCACACTTTGATCCACTGTTTTATTTATTAGTAATATTTGAAAAAAAATCTATTGTAGTAAAGTATGACTTGTTATGAATTAAAAACTTAACACTATTGGAGTGGACACTCATCATAATAAATTGGTGAAATAGGTATGAATCGCAATTTATACCGTGGGATCGGCCCACCGTGAGCATGGTGTGCCGATCCCAAAATTATGCCGTTTGTTAATTAAAAAGGGAGCGCAGATGAACTCCGGCGGCCGTCATCTGCTCAAATAGCAATCGCCTCCCTCTGGTCATCGACGCCTTGCACTGCTCGTCGCTAGCCATAACCAGGCCATTGCTCGTCACCCATAGGAATCTGCTGCCCTGTACTTGTCGCTCGTCACCTCCATCGCCAAGCAGAAGAAGGAAGGATCTTTCTTGGGGTGTAGATTGTGTTTGGCTTAGGCAATTAGGTGGCCGCTCTTGTGTCGGGTCATCTCTGTTGATGGGATGAACGAAGCTTTCTCAAGGGATAAGAGAGTATGGGGGCTTAAGAGAGTTACACCTATGTAAAGGGTTTTTACATTTCAATAGGCTACAGTTACATTTCCCAATTTACATCTGATGTGTTTTCCAAGTTACATTTCAATTTAAACGGTTTACATTTTAACAAGTTACATCTGAATGGGGGTAATTTACATTTTGATTAATCTGAAGTTACATTTTGATTCACGCAATTTACATCTTATATAACTTTGGGAACAGGATGCTCACCGTGCAACGCTCCCACGGTATAACGCCTGGTATGAATTGATTAGCTTGAGATTGCACTTCCTCTCCTATACGGAGTAGTTTTTATTAAGGCTAAAGAGTCAAATAAGCCTTTGTATCTTTCCAGATTGCTCAATTTGCCCTCTGAACTCAAAAAAAGCTCCAATTGACACCCTAAACTCGATAAAAAGATTCAAATTTTACTTTTTACAGGTTACGAACCGGTCACCGCCATGTCACTCTGTAGGTGCCAACTGTGCATGTGACGTGACAATTTAAGGGGTAAAATAAGCCCTTGAACCCGTTTGAATTGTTCAATTCACCCCCTCAACCCTTAAACAACGACAAAATTACGAAAAATATAAATAAAAAATAAAAAATAAAATATAATAAAAATAAGTCAAAAATATAAATATAAATATGAAATAATTACTACCTTCGTCCCATTTAAAGGTTCCCATGGCAAAATGACATGATTATTTAGACAATAATTTATGAAGCTAATTCACATATATTTTGAGAAAATTACTTTGATGAGTGCATAATATAATGGGTTATTGATGACAACTGTGATTTTATAAATGTTTTTTTAGTATTTGATGATTAAAATGTCATTTAAGAATGTTACTTGTTTCCTAAAATAGAAAATGAGAACCTTTAAATGGGACGTCAAAAAAAGGAATGTGAGAACCTTTAAATGGGACGGAGTGAGTATAAATTTCACTAAACGAAAAATAAAGAAATAAAATATAAACTAAAAGAAATTAATTCTTGAACTTTAATTCGAAATCATATATTTTTATTCTTTTGTAAAAAATATCATAGTTATGTGTACATAGAACAAACACACACATGTGTGTGCGCGCGCTCGTGTCCACACACACATGACACATATGATTGTATATATTAGCTTACTTTGTATAGTATAAAGTACACATAATTAGAGCATTGTACTTCATGTATATATTACATAAAAAACACTTCTATATATATATATATATATATATATATATATATATATATATATATATATATATATATATATATATAGACAGGGATGGACCAAACCGGGTCGGCCCGGCCCTGAACCGGCCCGACCCGCCACTGTGCGGGCCCGGCCCGGTTACGGAATGGGCGGTGCGGGCTTTTACCCGGCCCGGGGGAGGCTAGCGGTTCGGGCACAGTTCACAAAAAGGAAGGCCCAGCCCGGCCGATTCGGGCCCGGTTCGGGCCAACGACTATATTTTAATTTTTTTTTTCTTTTGGCTACCAAACAAGCCCTTAGAGCCGTTGTGATTGAACCCAAACGGCTATATAGCCGTTGGGAGCCTTCCTGGGGTCCAGGGGTGGGTTAGGGGGGTGGGGGTGGGGGGAT